CACAATACTCAAGGGGTCTCAATTACAGAGCCCTCATATTTGTACATGGGAACATATATCTGGAGGTCAGCACATTTCATTAATATTTTTGGTTAACACATCCTTCACAGTGGTTTTGAGGTTTTAATGCTCCCAGTTAAAGAAGCAAAATTTTGATGCAACTATTAGCTTGATCCACAATACAATTTTTTAAATGTTGTTTCATTAAGACAGCTCAGTTTTATCCCTTCTTCAAGGCTCCATTCAACTGTAAAAAGGAGTTAATAACACACTTCTACACTAATATCTCTTTGAAGTTTATTTCCTGTTCAAGAGTTCCAGTAAAGAACAAAAATGACTAGCCTGTTTTCGTATCTGAAAAGCACATCAAGTATTTTGTGAGCTCAGTTCAAGTCATCTGCTTGGACTGAGCTTGTAACTTGAGGATACTTTTACCATAGATTATCCTAATTCCAAAGAAAAATTGCCCAGAATCTTAAGGAGGGTGACTGCCTTATTACTTCCTGGTTTTAGGTGCTAGGGACACATCAACCTCAGATACATTAATGAACACTAGCTTCAACCATAGTATAAAACTACAAGTGCCAAATCATGATAAAAACCAGAAAACCAGAGTCACCTCAACATTGCTCTGAAGTGTCCTATAGGCACCAAATATTACATTGTATAGAAGGGGCAAGCTGGATGTTAAGCTCCACAGAGTACCTGGGGAATGCTCTGATTCTGGGGATAATCTGAACCCAAACACAGCTGATTCCAGCTTCTCCAGTTTAGGCAAAGCTGAATCCCAGCACTGAACAATCTGACACATATACAGTAAAGCCTCAAACTGGACTCTGGCAAATAATTTATTTCTTTCCTTCTTTCCTCCTAATATAGAAAAAGTGCAATTGGATGTGTGATTTCACAGAAAACTAATTGTTAAGACACATGTCCACAAGGACCTTTAAGGCCAAAGAGACAGAGACCACCTCTGCTAAACAGAACCGTTAACACAGGGGCATGGACACATCAGTAAGGACTGGGGTTAACAGTTGGTGCTGATGACCTGACATCCTCATCATGCATATTTCATGGGGGCTTATCTCAAAAAAAAGAACAAATCAGGTCCCACTAGGGACTGAATGCACTCAGTGAGAATTTAACATGCTCTTAGAACACATTGTCCTTTCAGTTTCATCTGAAAGAGATCCAATAAAGCAACCCAAGACTGCTCCATGACATGACCAAGGCACAATTAGCAGGGACAACAGATCAGCTTCAGAAGAACATTCCTGATCTGAAATAAATTTCTAATCTAGACACACTATAAATTCTTATGTATGAGATCCTTACAGCAGAATATACCAAGAAAAAGAATTCTGTGTTATACTCAGAGATGCACCCTGAAAATGGAATCAGGATGCACCTTCCAGAGTGAGGTGCTGCTATGTAAAAGACAAACAGATAGGCAGGCAATTTTTTAAAATTAAAGATAATGGAATAAGGCAATTTAAGGCAATTTTATTCACTTTAAGGGTAAAAATTGCTTTTACATTTTAATCGAACAAGAGAGGCTATGCAGTATAAGCCACAAAGCTAAGCACCAAGAGAAGTGTCTCCTCCAGTGTCTTGGATCTTTCTCCAGTGACATTCAAGTGACAGAGAAAAGATCAGGATTTTTTACAGGATAAGACCTTTGACGCTCTCAGTTTTTCTGTATCTATTCCCACAAAATTAACCAAGTGTATTTTGTCAAGCCTCAGTAGGAATAAAATACTTTTATTCAGGCAGAAATTAAATATAGTAACAAAACTCCAAAACAATCTATTTTCAGCACTCTGTGGGAGGCTAGAAGACAATAGTAATTGTATATATTTGTTTGGAAATGTTTACAACACACTTAAGAATTTCTTAATTAAGAAATTTCAAGAATACTAGTGCAAAAGGTGATCTGGTGTGAAATTAAACACATTCTTTATCCATGGCAATGGATCAGTTCTTAATGATCATGGGCAATATTTGCAAATCTGTAGAGACTTCAATTCAAGCCGTAAATTTGCATTTCAATATCTCAGTATTTTTACCCAATTTTAAGAAGGTCCAAGTATGTACAGCTCTTCACTGATTTAGGGGGTACTTCATGAGAACTACCTAGCAAAGCTGAAACTTCACACAGTTTGCTACTGCCTCTCAGACCTGACCAGTTGAACAAAAAATAATGAAGCATAAGTCCATCAGCTGCCCTGAGCTGTTCAATTGCCAACCCACTGCTTTTCTGTTCTGCTTAAACTGAGCAACAGTAAAACAGGTATCTTAACAGAGGAGGAAAAGGCATTATTTGCTTTTAAGCTGCTTTGTGTTAAAATTAATAGCAGCAAGAGTCAAAAGAAAGTAATCACAGAAGTATCATGACATCTATAATACTGTATAGTAGTTCTGGGAACAAAAATTATCTCTTCAGACAAAAAGAGTTCCTGTAGTACAACAAATAATATTAAGATGATTTCAAGCTACAGACACTACTGCATGAGGAAAAAAGTCACAATATAAAGTCAGCACGGCCTGTGGTCTTTAATGTACGTCTATGCATAGTTTTGATTGTCCAAATTAGAACCTGTAGAGCACTAACTGCATGTTCCTCCTGCCTTTTGCATCACATAGACTCAGACAATGATTTCATGAATAAACATAAAAAGATTTATGTTATGAAGAAAGGGAGATTGTCTTACCAGTCACAGTGTGGCAGGTACCTCTCTGTTTTGTCCAGTCTTTTCTGAGTATTTGTGTAAGTTCATTACATTCTCATCCTGGTTTCAGTGTCATCACTCAGGCCAGATTTGACCAAATCATTCACAGTAGATCACAATTAAACCTGTGTAAGTAACACTTGAGTGTGGGACACAGTAAGTCTTTAGTAAACATATAGATATATATGGGGGATGCACATAAATTATATAACTATAAAACCATCATTTCACTTCTGACTCTCTTTAAAAAAGGCTGATAGGCTCGAGCAAAAAAAATAGTTATACATATGTATCTTTTGGGGATCATAAAAAAAATTCCAAAAGGCGCCGCCAGAGGGAGACATCGCGCCAGAGCTCCAGGGACGATCCCTCTCCACTCACCCACACCACGGGCACACACTATGGACCCTCCGCGAGGATTTGAGTGCAGACAGTTCTTTGCAAAGGAAAAACTTTAAAAATTGCAACATCTGGTTCCTATGCAACTTCCGCGAGGATTTGAGTGCAGACAATTCTTTTCAAAGGAAAAACTTTACAAATTGCAACATCTGGTTCCTATGCAATCCAAAAGTGCAAATCTTGAATAAAGGATATGATATTTAAGTCAGTGTAGTTAAAGATTATGCGTTTAATTTCCTTGGAAATTATTTCCTTACTAGTATTTAACGTATTTTTCTTATCTTTTCCTGAAGACAAATAACTAGGACAATATATACAAAGAAGCAAAGGATTTTTAGGAGTCCTACCTGGCCAAGTGAAGAAAGGACACCTACAACACTATATTTTCTAGTTCTTTCATGTTTACCTACCCAAAAGATGGGAAGAAGTCAAGAAGGAAAGCTAGGACGTGGTACCATGACAGCCTTCAGCTCTGCTGGTAGGAGGCCAAAACTCTGTGACTAGTAGAGAGTCCCAAATCGGTAGATCTCCCCAACAGAAAGGAACAGACCCAATTTATAGCTGGGAACCTCACACGGCAGGAGTTCCCTCTGGGAAATGGGGTACACTGCTGGCAGAGCAAAGTTTGTATCAGCCAGCACAAGTCTCATAGACTTGGGCACAGATTGTCACACAGCTGGTGTTCTTGTGCTAAACAAAGCCTGGGCCAACATACTTTTACTTATATGACAAAACACACAAAAAATCCCACCTGGCCTTTGAATATTTCCACGTCTCAGATAAATCCCATGTTGCCAGAATGGAAAGAACTAAAAAGATTGTGTCTTCCTGTTGTAGATCAGAGATACACATTTCAGGGGTTGGGGAATCTGACAACTCCACTGCAAGGGGCAATAGCCCCTCACATTTCTAACCTGTTCCCCACTCCCTTAACTCTTTGTTCCTGATGCATCTGTTGCAAATTTTTCATTTGTCCAATATGCAACTTGAATATTTGAGAATGCATGTTGTTCTGGCCAAATCCTTTGCAGATTTGATGGAGATATTCTGTTATGGAAGTGTATGCTGAATCCTTCAGAGCCTGAGCTAAGGCTCAGAGGGCAATTACAGCATCCTGACAGAAACAGAGTCATGTTTCCTCTCATTCATCACACACTGCTAGATGAATAAATCAACGTGTCATGAAACTTGACACAGGAAAACCAAACTGTGCCATGAAATTATTGCTTTCAAAGCAATTTTGCATGAAACTAAACATGTATTGATTACATATCCAATATAGTATTGTCATTGTATCTTTAAGAAAATGTAGCATTCCTGATCACAGAAGTTCCATTTTGCTGTGATTTTTCCTGAAGATTGTCAACATATCTATTTCATTTAAAATAGTTCATGAAATGAAGTTTATCATTTTTGTTAAAAGCAACCTTTAGCACCGGTCTATCATTTTTATCTGCCCAGACATTACAGTAAACCACAATCTTTACCTCACCTGCTAATTTAGTTCAGCTATGTCCAGAACAAAGGGCCACAATAAATGCCAAAGTGAGTGTTACACCCACTTATAAATCACACAGCCTCAAGTCTGTTAGTTAGCAAGTTAAATATTTACTAGAATATAACTGACTAACAACACAAGTAGGTCCCCAAGATAACTGACGTATCAGAGGAAAAGTCTTTAGCAAGTATTCCTTAGCCCTCCATGGACATTTCTAAAATATCTGTGTCCATCTGTTTGTCTTAACCCCACAAAAGAAGGTCAGACTTCACCTGGATGGATATGTGCATGCAGAAAGCACAATAACAGAGCATCAAAAGGATCTATTGTCTCAGACTGTACTGCTTCCAGTTCTCTAGCCTGTTGTTATTTGCAAAGTGGTAGTGATAAATGTGACATCAAAATGCAGTCTCACACTTTGGTTTCTGAACTTCAACGACAAAAAAGGTAAGACCACAATGTCTTAAAATCAATTTACGCTACATAGTGCTTTTAAGAAATGTGACTATTGAAATCTGTCTTTAGATAGTATTTTGATCCTGCTCTTCATTCTGCTTTTCTTACTTACTAAAAAAAAAATTTCCTAGTATATACACCTACAGTTATGGTGTGGGTCTGGATTATGAGTTCTTGTGCTTTCAGACGTGGGAGGACAGGACAGAGAACTGTTTGTATGAATGCACTACACCTTTGATGCATTTGTGCCAGCTCAGAATAGATAAGTATCTATTTCAAAGTTAGAACTACATAAATCTCAAAGCATCTGTGTGACTGTGACTATAGCTATTCTTGAAAGACAAGGGGAAAATAGGGGGAGATAGGATAGAAAGACTGGTGGAGAAGAAAGGGTTATTGAAATGCAGTTAAATTTAATCTAATTGTTCTAAACCTCCTTCTGTGACATTGAACAGTATTAGAGAGTGATTTTGAATACAGAAGAGACACAGTGGTCACTGTGCTGATATGGCCATCAGCAAAGCAGCAATACATAGCAATAATCACAGCTTCCATAGATATACAGATTGTGCTCTGACCTTACCTTAATTTAAACCAGAATTTTCACTGTCAGAACTAGAATAATTTCTTTAATATGAGAGTCTAATTAGCCATTTGCCTTAATTTAAACCAGAATTTTTCACTGTTAGAACTAGAATAATTTCTTTTAATATGAGAGTCTAATTAGCCATTTCTAGTTTAAACATTCTGTATGATCAGGAAAGGTATCAAAAAGCACTGTGAGGAGAACCATCACAAGTAACAAGTATAAACAAAGACTATTTCTGCCTTTGTGCAACTTCTTTGGACCTCAGAGCTACATCCAGCAATGGATTGTCTTAAACATCACACAGACTGAGTTTCCTGCTCTTTTATGTGATGATTCCATTATCAGAAGTCACATTCTCTTGAAACTTATGTCTGACCTAACTTCTCAGTCCCTAACCTCCATAAATTACAATTCCTGCTCAGCTTTTCTCACTTTCAAAATTGGTTATTTCACCTTTCAAGCACTCCAGCACCTTAATCTTCTCTTAAACTTACTGAAAAAGATAATTTCAGGCTTCTCTCACTTGCCTAAGTTAGATCCTCAAATTGTCCTTTTATTTCAATCTCAATTTTCTCTGTTGCGTTTTGCCCCTCAACCTCCCTAGCCCCCAACCTGTCTATAGAATTTGCCTGCTGCTTTTAAATGCAAGAGTCTTTCCATTTGCATGAAAACATTTCCCCTGTTTACCTTTCTGTCATATCCTGCTTTAATAGTGATACTCAGAATATCCATTCGAGATTAAAGTCTCAGAGCAGAAAAGGGACTACAGTAATTTTTGCCTGCCTGTGGTAAATTATAGCCTTGGACATTCATTGTTTTGGATCTGTTTTGTTAGAGACATTTGTCTGTTTTAGGGAAATAAGCAGATGAATTAGGAACTGGTTTAGAAATTACCAGATTTCTCCCATGCTTTTACTATAGCTGTTGGTGTTCATTATTTCATTTAAATAATACACATAGCATATGAGTTTTTTTCTTTAATATGCTAAGCTACAAAAACGATTTTTTTCTTTAATATGCTAAGCTACAAACTAAAGTGCTCCTATGCAGATTACCTAGGAATGTGAATCTGAGTTCCACTATCAATCAACACACCATACACATCACAATAAAAATTGAGGTGTTTACACAAAGCAATCCAAGCACACCAGGTGAATGGACACAAAGATGAGAAAGGAAAATCAAAGCCTGATGAATATTGTTTGAATTCTAGGACACTTTGCTGAACACTGAAGTGGCTGTAGGTATGTTTACATGGCAATATTTGGTCAAGAAATGGACACCAGCATTATCTTAGGCAAGTGAAGATGCAAGTGAAATGCAACTGTGTACATAGTTGTAGCCGAAAATGCAAAGAAGATATGTAAAGGCTGAAACCATGAATAACAGAATGTTAAAATGTGTTTATAGAAATCATTAGCACAAATTTGTCTAGAATATTATATGCACTCTGATATCTGCACCTAGGGAAAGGATTTTGGAGAACTAGAACAGACTTGCAGAAGGGTAAATAAAATACTCCTTGAAAAACAGACAATATTAAAATTGCTTATTTTAGAAACACTGCAGAAATAAGCAAAGTAGGAAGATGCACATCTCCTAATCTGTGTTCATCTCTGTTCAAGAGCAAGAAAGCATTTCAGAAAAGTGAAGGGTAGAAAAATGAAAATAATACATTTACACTCACTGTGTAAACAAACTGTTGAACCAGAGGCTGTTGAAACAGGATTGAGTAGTTATTTCCAGAATTTTCAAGTTCAATTAGATGATCAGCATTGTAGAATTACTTAATGTTTCCAAATTCAAACCAATCTTTAATTGCAACAGAACAGGTAAGACCCATGAGGGAATAGGAAAGAGCAGATCATTCTTTATCTGCCTACTGTGAGGCTGGAAGGCCTTTGTCAGAAGTATCAGTACTGAGCTGTGTAGCATTGGCAAAGGGATAATAGATAGAGACTCAGCTTGGTTCCCTTCCAGGATGGCATTGCAGTTTTCCTAGCTTTCACAGTAGTCAACAGTCCAATAGACTCCTGAATAACACTCCTGAATGCTCATATCAGGGGGAATAAAGAATTTACACTAATATGAAAATGCAACATGAATGCTTCTGTTCATGTTAAAATATTTATTTAATATATTTTCAAAGTCTGTGGACTTTCATTTGCCCACATATTAGACTTGTTCTAACCTGCATTGTTTGGAGAGTTTTATATGCAAATAACCAAGAATATAATTTCATCAACAGGAAAACTAACATGGCAGAAACAGGCTCTGTAGTCAGCAAAGGGAGTCAACCACTTCCAGAAAGCAATCAATCTCTTTTAGGAATGGTCAAATTGCCCTCTGGAGCTGCCCATCTACTCTGACTCCAGAGGGAATCTACCCTACTTTTATAGTGAAACTTGCACATGAAACTGGTGGAATGACCTTCTCCCACAAACTTCTAAATATTGGGGTGTAATTAGTTCAATCTCAGGATATCTATCTCAACAAAGGACTGCTCTGCCAACTTCCTGTTGGAGGTATTAAGCAGATGCAAGTTAATGTAGTGAAGAATTTTACTCCCTTTGGTTTTAAAAGTATCACTTAATTTAAAAATGAAAATAAATCCAACTCCAGGCACAGAAAAGGCTGACATCAAATTCTGTCAGCTTAGTCCAACAAGCAGCCATTGATTTTTATAGCCTTTTTCCTGGAAAAAATAAAATAGGACATATAAAGTTGTCTCAGTGCTTGTGTGCCCCTCTTGGCTGTGTCACAGCAAATTCCTCTCAGAAATCCAGGATCTAAACAGAGACTTTCCAGATTTTCAGCAGTGCTCTAGTGCCATTCCTCTTCCAGTCTGCATCAGAAAGATGGGGTTTTTTAAGTTCCTGGTAGGACTGTGACTGACTGTACAGAACATGACTATATAGAGCAAGAGGCAGAGAGCAAACAGCAGTGATTGCCTGGCACTGTCCATGTCACCTTCAGGCTGGGACTTGTATAAATCAGTCACAACCAGCTATGCAGCTGATAGCAAAGTTTATCTGCACACAGAGCAACAGGAGCCTGTATGATTTCACTAATTTAAGTACTTGGAAGCAGCAAAGAAAAGGCATAATAGGTCATGTCACGAAAGACTGAAGGTAAAAGGTTCAGGGGAGGGTAGGAAGGCTGGGTGTTGAGGGGAAGTCTGTACTGACTCAGAGTGACAGCAATAATAGGCTGTTCCACTGTGGTCTATCAGTGCACACAATTTCCAGCAGTGCTACATAGCAGGACTCAGTGGTAGTAATTATAGCTCAACACCTATCCAGCTGTTTCCAGGTGGTATTTTCTGAAACAAATCACAGTAACTTTATGGAAGCATTTGGATCAGAGTAAACTGGTACTCACAGAATGTGCTCGTGATGTAAGAGAGATGCTTCCATTTGTTTAAAGACACTTCAGGTCTTGGAATTCCAGAGGGAATTCACAATCTGCTATGGATATACAGTGTCAGATTTTCCATTACTATATATTTCCATACATGACAATGCACAATGTGATGGTTAGCAAACACTAGGAAGGTGTGGCTGTGGGGTTTTTCCTACGTGTAACATCTAACCTTCACTTACTACATTTTGGAAAGTTCTTCCTTTGCTTACGCTAAAGCCAACACAGTTCCTCCTACCCCTTATAATTCCTGCACACCTTGCAGTACCTTTATCCATACTGACTACTAAGGAGATTGCAAGAATCAAGTTTCCCAGAGGCTAGAGGGCAAGCAAGAAGTATGAAAGGGAAACCGCTAATGAGCAGCAATTACCTATTAGCCATTAACTAGGGAGATTCCCACTCCATCTGTTGACTGAGAGAGACTTCAACAGAGAGATTACCCAGATTTGATAAGGAATATTCCCAGCATAGGAAAGTCTCATGCTTTATGGACAGTAATAACAATAGTCCAACATCTAAAGTGTGTCGAGCAGTGCAAAGAGGTTCAAAACATTTGATTATGGATTCATTGAGGTATAAGTTAACTGAACTCAGCAGTGCTATGCTGATAGCTTAATTCTCAAATTTATGCAGTTATCTACTTTGGACAAGCCATGCATTGACTGAAACAGTTAACATAGACCTCTGGACAAATTAAATCATGGAAGAGGAGGTGAATTTCTTCCAGGTTTACCTCTATAACATTGCTATGTATTTTTGGTCTGAAATGAGCACACCACAGCAATTTTTTGCCTATTAACAAATACAAAAAAAACTTAGGAGAGATCATTGACATAGCAAGCACTCACAGACCTGTCAGTGAGTGTTCTTACTAAAACAAACACACAGAAGGTACTGCAGAGTTCTTTAACTTCTCAAAATGTCTGCTGGGATCCAGATATCAAAAGATGGATTATTAGTCATGCACTATTCCTACAAA